CTGTGCTGTGCTGTGCTGTGCTGTATGGCTCTTCCAGCTGCTTCGTCACAGGCCTTGAGAGCAAACTCTGCATGCAGGCTTCACTTACGTGTCTTCCGTGTTTAGCTCAGCGTGTGGTGCATGTGAACAACTGTGGCTCAGGAACAAGCAGAAGCATTTTTGTTTTGTTTCTTAGAAGTTCAAATTACAAATATTTTATGCCATGAGGGCCATCCATGTCTTATAACTAAGAACGTCTCTGCCTTAACAATTGGTTCAACTTATGATTTCTGAACCTTACAAAATGTGTGGGAATAATATACTTACTATGTGTCCATCTGTCTCTCTCATCCAACTTAGAGCACTATATATGATAATGTAGGTAGGTCTGGACCACCAAGCTCCATCACTCTGCCCTTAGAAGTTTCTCCTCTTTTCAAATATTTTTTTCATATGTACATGTTAGTGCCTGATGTGTGCCATGTGTGTACCTGTGCCCACAGAGTAAAAGAAGGGCACATTGGATCCCCTGGAGCTGAAGTTGTGAGCTGCCACGTGGGTGCCAGGAAAACCAAACCTCTAAGAGCATCAAGTGCTTTTAACTGCTGAGCCATCTCTCCAGCCCCACCCCTAGACTTTAGACCTTTTCCTGGGCTGACAAGGTGCAGTATGATTCTCTGTCACAATGTTGGACAGTGGCTGTGAGCTGCAGCTTCCAGCTAGCTCCATAGTCTCAAAGTGGAAACAGCCCATCTTCTGCAGTGTGCCGCTGCAAAGTGAGTGTATCTAGTGGGTTACGTATGGCATACACATTTCATCCTATGATGCCCTCTGCTTCTGCTAGGTGATGACATGAGCCCATGAAAGTTGAGGGACGTCTCTAGTCTGTTGTTAATACAACCTAACAGCAGCCGTAGAAAATACATCAGTGAATGAGCACTTTCTAGAAACAGATGGCTCAGTAGGCAAAGCCCTTTCATGCTGTCTGGATTCTCAGGTAACCCATGTAAAAGCTTGACAGAGTTTTAATGCACTAACTGGTCTGGAAACGTGAGTGACCTGCTCTGGGCTTGGGAGCAGATATATGTATTTATACGGAAAGTACATCTAGGCCCAGTTCCAGCTGTGCTGGGGGTGGGGAGGACCTGGGTCTCCACCTTCTAGGAGCTGAGCTGTGTTACAGGCATCAGCACAGGCCAGACAGCGCCTCTGCTGCTGGGGGAGCTAAGGAGGAGCCAAGGCTCTGAAAGTGTTCTTACCAAAAGAATTTCTGGCAGAGAGCGATTGGTTATTGTAAAGCCAGCAGCTCTGATGGATGGTTTTTAGATCCCCTGGCTTGTTCATCAGAGGCCAGAAAGGCCAAGAAGGCTTTTCACTGCAGCCCAGGATGAAATCCAGCAGCACCTCTGACCCCTACCCCCTCCACAGCCTGCTGGCCTGGAACTGACTCATTAGGGTAATTGGAAGGAAGACCAAACCCTGCAGGCAACTGGCCCCTGACCTGTAAACCTGGCCTCTATAGGGCCAGCCTTGCCCCAGTGGCTTCTCTCTGTAGGACAGGTTTCTCCCATTACTCCTTGGGCCTGGCATCCTCTCCCTGGACCACTTTCTAGCCAGGGAGGGGCTGGTACATAGCTTTCCTTCTACATCGAATTCCAAACAAGGGCTGATATCTACTTGGCTTTTCTTTCCCTTCTATCATGGTTTTGTGGGTGACTGGCCGTTTTAGGGATTCTGTTTGATGGGAACTTTTCCTTCTAGCTCCCTGGTAAGCCTTGGTTTGGTGGTGGGCCATCAGCCTCAGAAGAACGGCATGGCCCTGCACAGAGTAAGGACTCTGGGAAGGCTAGTGGCAATGGGTTGGGTGGTCACTGTTTAGTAGTGGGAAAACCAGGCCTAGAAGTGTCACTTAGGATAGCAGGGAAGTGTGTTCCTCTGACCACTGCCAGGAGTCAGATCCTGCCTTAGTTTTGAGCAACTGTACTAGAATGGTAAGGAATCCCAGGGATTGCAGGGAGGGGCAACTATTGCCAACGAGAATTGCAGGCATCCTCATGAGATAATGACAAAGGTGCTTCTGGAACCATTTTTAGATGGGGTGGACCAACAGGCGAGGAGACATAGTGTTACACAGTGTGATTGATGTGCGTTGAGGCAGCAGAGCAGAAATATATTCTAGCCCCGGGTGGGGCTGAGGTCAAGAAAGGTTACCAAAAAAGGTGAGCTAAGCCTTGAAGCACAGAGCAGGGAGGATGGCGATGAGGGCGCAATTCTAAACTTTTCACGCAAATGTCTTTTTGGTGGGAGGGGTCCTCCAGACAACCTACGAGAGGGACAGACCCAAGTCTCACAACTCAGACCATAGAAGTATGTGGTTAGTAGGTGAGGTAACAAGTGGCCCAGGCAGGCTGCAGGAGCTGTGGAGATGGGCTTCTTAGTGGACAAAACATGGCGTGGTCACGGTCAGAGGTGTAGATGACTTCAGTCCTAGTGTTTGGGGACCATTTGGGGTTTCTGATTTACTAGTGGAGTGTGTGGCTGTGACCTTGGTCAGGGCAGGAGGCACTTCTGAGCAGGGGTTAGGTACAGTTAGGCAAGACAGGAGTTGGGCTTGCTTCTCTCTGAGCAGGGAGGGACCTGGAGCATGGGAAGAAGGTATAGTGTCAGTGCTGGGGCACAGTAGGGCACACCTGACCCCATCCCCAGTCCTCACAGTGGGCAAGAATTCTCACAGTTCCACCCAGCGTTGGCATAGAGTGGAGTGTCCTCGTTGAGCCTGCCACTCACTTTGTTTATTTGACATACAGAAAAAGATAGCCACACACTGAGGAAGGTGTGGCTCCACGGAACTTAACAGGACGAGGTAGACTCCCAGTAGCCAGTGGGTGGATTCTAGCCTTGGTGGGAACCTGGGTAGAATGGCCTGGCACAGAAATAAAGACTAGGCTCTGTGGAGTGGGGTCTGTTTGGGCCTTCCAGGTTTACAGCCTTGTCTGGGAATTAACCCTCTATTGCCAGGTGGCTCACCCAGACCTGACACAGGAGAAACACCCTGTTAAAGAGCATCCTAAATAAGACCCAGTTTCTGGCAGATTTTAAAACTTGGTTTTATGATGTGTATGGCGAGGGAGAGTGCATGTGCACACGCACACGCTTGCAGAGGAACAGTTTCCAGGGATGTGTTCGCTCCTTCCACCGTGGGTTCTGGGCACTGAATGTAGGTCACCAGACTTGTGCTCCACGTAGTTTACCTGCCGAGCCGTCTCACTGGCCCTGAAAGGTGTTTTGGTTTTGGTTTTCCTACAAGGGAAGAAAAAAAAAGTTACTGCCTTTTTCTTTCTGCCAGTTTTCAAAGCCTGCAATTCCCCTGCTGAGTTAGTTTGATGGTTTGAACCTAAAAAACGTGTGGGACGTTCCAGAAGTCTGTCTTTGCCCCGCTGTTTTGGTAGGAAGGCATAGGGTAGATCCACCTTCACACACACAGACCCACCTGAAGCTCTGGACTGTGTAAAGGTAGGGCAGGGTGCAGCAGAGAAGCCAGAGGGCTAGCCTGCACCACGCCTCTCCCTACCCCCCCTCCACCGTCTCAAGTCACACAACATGGACAATGTGTGATTGGTTGCATGTCTTCACTAGCAGGCCTGAGTTCGGTGACAAGGTTACCTTGTCTCCTTTTTAGATGCTGTGTGTTTGTGCAGGTATGCATGCCTGGTGGCAAGGAGGATCCCTCTGAGCTGGAGTTACAGGTGCCTGTGGGACATCTGACTTGTCACATGAATGCTGGGCTCTGAACTCTAGTCCTCATGATTGCACAGCAAGTGTCTGTTAACCACTGGCTCATTTCTCCAGCCCCTGGTTTGGGGGTTTGATTTTTAAGACGGTCTCATTTTAAGACGGTCAGCCAAGGCTGACCTTGAACTCTGGCTATATCTGCACCACCTTGCCTGGCTTGCTGTCATCTTTGGTACCCTCAGTCAGAGCTGTTAGAAAAGCAGGGCAGAGCCCAGCTGCCATTCCTCAGTCTCACACCTGTATATTCTTCCGAATAGGCTAGAGGCCCCGCTTCCTCAGCCATATCAGACCTGAGGCCCTCACTTGACTATTGAGACCCAGTTACAACAGAGTGGATCCATCTCCTCCCACTTCGAGAGGTCACATCCCTTAGTTCAAATCCATGGATCCCTGTGGCAGGGTTCAGCACCTGGGTTCTGGATTGATTGACTGGGGGACAGTGGGCTAGGGTTGGGTAAGGGATCAGTGTGTCTACCTCCTCTCCTCACCTGGGCCAGCTGGATGACCTACCTACCGACCGACCACCTTACTTGGCACATGTTCAAGGACAGCAAGAAAAATGAGGGACTTTCAGGGGCAGCTGTGTTTTCTGACTCAGTCATAATGCCCCTAAAAATCCTTATTGTTCTTGCAGTGTGCATCTGGCAGCTGTGGAGGCCAACCCAGCCCTCGCCCACCTGGCCCTGCGGGGCTGGAAGGAACTTCTGTTGTCACATTGGAACGTACCCTCTCCCCCAAATGAGGGATGGGCACATGCTGGTTGTCGAGACAGTTAATATGGTTTACACATTAATTCCAATACATGTTCACTTTTTTTTTGCGTGGGGGGGCATTCCTGGGTCTCCCTGTTTGATATGAAGTAAAGATTGTTGGGGAAAGGGGTCGTTTTACAGGATCCACCCCCCTCTCCCATTTCCTGAGAAGTGGGGCAGGTATCTAGGCAGAAACTTTTCTTTTTAAGCATCAATGAAGAGACTCAGAGCCAGTGGCTATGTTGATCTGGGCATTTCCCCTCTGCTGTGACCCCAGAACTTGCTTACTTCGAAGTAGACATTCTCTACCCCCGTTACCACAGAGACCATCTCCATGGTGACCGATGCCTCTATATTTTCCAGCCTCACCCTACATATATTTTACTCAGGGTCTGTGGGTGTGGGTAGGGGAGTGTAACACAGTATGTGTGCCTTCTATAATCCATTTCATTTATTTTATTTTTTTTTTTGAAACAGGGTCTCATGTAGCCAAGATTGGCCTTGAACTCCTGAGCCTTCTGCTTCTGCCGCCCAAGTACTGAGACTGTAAATGCTCAATTACTGCTACCCTGGGCCTTTCCAACAGGAGCCATTTTCCCTAACACTACCGTGCCACAGAGATGTTACTCAAAGTAGCAGTGTTGTGTGCTAGCTGAGGTGGCTTGTCCTCGGGGGACAGATGATTGAGCAATAGATATCACAGGGCCTGTTACAGAAAGTCACCCATTATCTCAAGGACCTCACGTCAGCAGGGGACAGTCGGCTTCAGGTCCCCAGGAGCCAGCTTGGAAGTAATCATCGACAGAATGGTGTTGGTGCTTGGAGGATGCTAGACCACTCTTGACTGTCCTGCCGGCCCTGGGTGTGTGGGCTCTGTGTCCCCACATCTGCTAGAGAGTGCTGGCATCTCACCACCAGGTAAGGGACAGACAGGATTTACTCTTGCAGGTGGAAGAAGAGGGAGGCTTTGGTGGACTGAGACTCTCACACTTGGGATGACCAGGGTGACGGCTGTTCCATCAGCGCTAGCAGCTTTGCTGACTCTTGCTAACTTCAGTCACCACCTCCCCTGGAGCCTCTCGGTCCGTGCTAGTCCCTGCCCATGGCTCTTACTCTTTGCCAAAGCATTTGCAACGGGACAGTAAAGATCTTGTCCCAAGTTCCATCTTAACACCACTCACCTGTGATCTCGGGGCAGAGACAGTTCTGAGGGACTGGCCAGCCACCCAGTCTATCCAAATCGAGGCTCAGTGAGAGACCCTGTCAAAGAAAAAGATGTAGAGGGTTGAGGAACGTACGTTGAGGGGGACCTCTGGCCTCCACACACGTGAGCACAAACACATGCTCACACAGACAATACTACATCAGGTATTTTTTTCAGGACAGGGTCTCACTCTGTAGACCAGGCTGGCCTCCGACTCAGAGGTCCACCTGCCTCTGCCTCCCAAGTGCTATCGAACATGCATCAAAGGGAAGGATGAATTGTCTTTTGTGAGCCATGCCTTCTTCACACAGTTGCTCTGGCCCCACCCCATTTACAGGATGGGAAGGTACCATGGTGCACATATGGTGGCCAGTGCTTTTACTTCTGGAGCCATCTTGCTGGTGCCTTTTAAAAATGTATTACTGTGTCCTCTTTTTGCCTTCATATGGGCTTCTGGGATTGATATTAGGTTTGTCAGCATTACAGGGCAAGCACCTTTGAGCCAGAAGGGAACGTTTTATGGGAGCAAGGCCTCTCACCCATTGAGCCACAGGCCTGTGCCTTCAGGAGCCTAGATTTTTCTTTTTCTTTTTTCCAAGGAGGATATGGACATGCCTGGTCACTGCTGCCTTCCAGCCAGGAACTCAGAGATTTTGCAATCTTGCTGGAGGGAGGCTGAGGTGAGGTCCTCCATGAGGATGTCGACTGACAGCTCTGTCAGGCTTTTTGACTCTTGAATCACTTAAGGCAATGGTTCTCAACCTTCATGCTGCAACCCTTTAAATACAGTTCCTCATAATGTGATAACTATAAATACATGGGGTATCTGTTGATGTAAACTGGACCAAGAAGAACCCAGGATGGGCGCCTTGGCTTCTTGTTGGCTTTTTCTTGCATGCCTTTGTGTTCTGTTTTGTGTTCTGTTTAGCAGCCAGGAGGAACTATCAGGCTATAAACCCAATAGAGGTGATGGAAGACTTTCCCTCCATCTCTGCCTGGGACCACTGGCATCTGGCAGGCGAAAGTGTTCAGGATACTTACTAAGGACACAACAAGGACATGGCAGAACCAGGATTCCTATCTGAAGTTCTGACTCCAAGGTCAGTGACATTTCTAATGATAGTGGTGGTATTCATCATTAATATATAAGAAACCGAGTACTTTAAGGTGTAGCTTTGACATCTTACTGGGTAACAGTGGTAAGACCTCTCTCTGCCTACTGCTTCCCTGCTTAGGGACAACCAGGAAGGAACTGGCCATGCTTGGGGCTGGTGTAGAGGGAAAGCCCCTGCTGCTGGGGTGTCATGGGCTTTGGCACACTGTCCCTCCTTCACTTCCAAGGCAACTGCAGAAGCATAGGACTAGCTGAGTTGGCCGTCTGGAGTACAGTGAGCTGACCATGGTGCATTGTTAGCTCCAGGAAGTGGTTAGCTGTTTTCCAGCAGGTCTGCAGAGCCGGACAGCCAGCATGCCTTGGAATTGGCGGATGGGAGTCGAGAACACCGCTTTCCTGGAGCCCCTGGGCTCTGGGCCAGGCCCTCAGGCTTCCTTTAGAAGGGGGCCCCGGTTGAGCGAGTGAGCCATGCTTGCCCAGCTTGGCACAGGCCTTCTCCGCTTCTCAGTCTACCTCATGCCTTTCTCTCTGCAGCAGCGTACACACAAGCCTGCTTTGCAGAGGGCAGGAGGGCTGTGCACACCATCTCGGCCAGCACCTCAGTAGAGGAATGCATAGCACGGACTGTAGCCTGGGTAGTGGAGCTAAGAGGAAAGCCCTTAGCTGCCTTGTCAGACCTGGGTCACAGAACCCTGCCACCGTGGAACTAAGAGCTCTGAGCACAGGTCCTGGGATCTGATGAAGGGCAACCTTGGGAAGGCTTGCGTCCTTGCTGGGCCTGTTGCCCATTTGGTAGCTGTAAGAGTGTTCTGTAGACTCTATTTTGCATATATATAGAGCTGACACTGTTGCTGCCTGCCTTTTCCTCTCCAGGAGAACACTTGAGCTGGGAACTTTGGTCCCTTGGAGGAGGGTAGTTGCATTGCCTGACACTGAGGTGACATTTGGGTCTCCACCTGATGGCTGGTGTCTTCTGCCATTGATCCTGCAAGATGATCTTTCTGGACAGTTCTTCTCTGGCCTCTGGCCCTGGCTGAACCCGGGGCCGGTAGCTCTGGATTGAGCTGTAGTCCTTGCCTCTGCCCTGGATTCCCTGAGGTTTGGGTCACCAAAGCCCAGCACATAAAAAGGTATCCTTCCCCTGGGAGTTTCAAGTTCCCGCAGCTGCAGGCCTGCCTTAGGCCGTGACTTCTGTACATCTCTCCCTTGGCCTGTCAGATGTCTTGGGGTCAGACACCCAGTAGCTTTCTGGTTTACCTGACTACTGGAGAAGCAATATTCCCCTGTCACTTTTTTTTTTTTGGTCCTGGAGTTTGGACTCAGGGCTTTAAACATACTAGGCAAGTGCTCTCTACCACTGATGTATATGCCCAGGCCTTTTATGATTGAGACAAAATCTTGCTTATGTGGTCCAGCTTGGGCTTAAACTGTAATCCTTTAGCCTCCATCTCCAGCATTATAGCATTATAGCTGTGTACCACCCTGCCCACATGGCTTTCCTGTTTTGACTCCTGTGTCAGGAAAACAACCCTGGGTGAAAGTAGGGTCCATTCCTGTTGGCTTGGCCATTGCAAGAGTTGTCTAGACAGGAATGGTTAATAGCACAGTACACTGGATAGGTAGCTGTCAGTTTTTCATAGACCTTGTTTCTGTTGATATATTGTTCTTCAAAGGTTACCCTTTAATCTATGTCACCAGGGTTCAGGTAGGGACAGCCACACCCCCTGGCTTTAGAAGAAGGCATGTGTTCCAGGCCTGAGCAAAGACTGCTGAGTTCTCCTTCACACCCCCATGGGACTTCAGCTGCATCTTTCATGGGAGTTGACAAGATGTCAGCTTGGATCGCTGGTGGCCAACTTATGCAGCTGAGGATGAAGTTATGCTGTGTGGACTTGTTCCTTGTTACCCAACAAGCCCCTGGATCGAGCCATGCCTGAAGCCAACACTCAGACTAACCTGATTATATGAGCCAATTTTTGTTTTTTTTCTAAAACCCATCTTGGATTTGTGTTACAGAATGGCTCCTAGTACAGGCAATGGTTTTCTGTTTTTCTCAGAACAGCATTGTTGAGATGTTCTTTCTATACATGCAACAAAATTCACCAGTTTTAAGTGTATAATTCCTAGTCTTTTTCTGGCACACCTTGTAACCATCACCATCAGATTGGAATCTTACTTACCTGCCATGAAAAACTCCATCCATCCCCTTGATGGTCAGTCTTTTCTGGGTGGTCACATGGTACATATTAGGCATCTAGTTCAGTGTGTTTTCATGATTCATTCCTCCACGTACTAGGGTCCATCTACTCCATTGTAGGTCAGGCAGCATCACACCCTGTGGGGTACACCACCATTTGTTTATCCATCTGGTATACAATGGCTGATTTTCATTGATATGAATAAAGCTGTTTTGCATGTTCAGATCTCATGTCTTGGGTGTATGTTTGCATGTGGACAGCAGCTTCATTCTCCAGTTGAGGAAATGGGTTTGTGAAGGTAGAAATACTTGTCCCAGGTCACACAACTGGTGCAGGAAACCCAGGGAGAGATGGCGATAACATTTGAAGGGCTATGTGTTGAGTATGGCTAGTAAAGGGGTTCAGGACCACATTGAGAAGCAGCTCACTGGCTCTGGTGCCCAACCACATGGCTGCCAGGAGGAACTGCCAGATGAGCCGGAGCCCAATTTTCACCTGTCACTGGGAAGCTCAGTGGGATTCATATTCTCACTGTGAATCCCAGGTCCTAAGGGATGGGAGGTGAACTCTGACTGGATGGATATCCAGAGCCAGAATAGCTTCCCTCCACGAGGATTCACAGAGCTCCATCCAAACTACCCCCCCCCCACACACACACATACACATTGCCACTCCACTCTGAGCCACAGGGAAAGACTGGTGCCGCTGTTATTCCAGCCACAGACAAGAAACCCTTTTTCTTTTGGCCAACACCAACAGCCCACAGGTTCCTCCTGCACATCTAGAGGTCAGGCTGGCCATTCCAGCTGTGACCCTCTCATCGATGTCACAGCCACAACCCTCTTCTGGTTTCTGCCTAGCTAATCCCTTGGCGTGAAGGAGGCTGCCCCCGCCCCCATCTGTGAACTCACTTGGGCGTCTCCTGTGATGTTGTGGCACTGTGTCCAACAGCGCCAAAAGTAAGGATCTTTCCAGGGTTGTTTGAGACGGGGCCTTCTCACTGTGTATCTCTGGTTGGTCTGGAACTCACTATGTAGACCAGCCTAGCTTTGAACTCACAGAGATCCTCTTGCCTTTGCCCCTGAGTGCTGGGTTTAAAGACATTCACCATCAGGCCCCATTGACCTTCCAGTTTTGTGAGTTTGTCTTTACTTGAGCGAGCTTGCCTCTGGGAAAGGCCTGGTTAATGACTCTGGTGCCCTGTGGCATCACATGTAGAGACCCATAGGCAAGCCCCATGGCCAGCCTACTTTGTTCTACATCTCACATGTGCATGCTCCAGCTCTGGAGGGAGGGACTGCAAGAGAAACTGAGGCACAGATGTGTGATACATATCTGTTGCCTCAGAAACCCTCAGTTCCAGCTGTCCATCAAGTCCTTGGCTGTTTGTTCTGGTGTGGCCAAGGACCCTGTGGGGAACCCACAGAATCTTGAATCTGGAATCTCGTAACTGAAGGAGACCTGCTGTTCTGAGTCTGACCCCATTAGGCCTAAGCAGCCCAGGATGTGGAAGGGCTCCCAGAAGGTGACCCAAAGGGGCCCCAGCACAGGTACGACTGACCTTGTGAAGAGTTACTTGTAGCGGATGAACTTTGAGCAATGGAAGACTTTGAGCAATGGAGGGTAGCCTTGGTGTTCGCTCTGTTGCGAAAGCCTCGGGTTTCCAGGAAACCCAGGTGGCCTGGCAATGCCATGCTGGTCCAACAGAGGATGGGTGTAAAGGAAGACGAGTCAATGAGTGACCCTCTGTGGAAGATGTGTGGCTGGTGTGAGGTGGAGAGTGGCTTCTGGAAGTCTGGTGATGAACTGATCTCATGATATTGTCGTGAAAGTTTCTACCTAAGGCCTCATCTGTTCATATATTCAGTTTTACAATTCTCTAGTCACGTGTCCGCTCTCTGAGGCACCAGGCCTTGGCCTGCCTTCAAGGCAATTGTGATTTAGCAGTGAGGGGACTGACACTTTTATTTCAGTCAGGTGATTTTAGGTGTTTGGATAACTGGTACCCTTCTACAGGCCTGATAATGAAGCTTGGTCCTAAGCAAGCTGGAGTGAGTGCAGCTCATCTATGGCAGAATGTCAGTGGGTGGGCCCTGCTGGGCCCTGGGACTCAGGGGAATAGCAACTGTGTGGCAGGCTCTGTACTTAGCTTGTACTTGGGAATTTCTGTCACATCTCACTTATGGGGAAATAGGCCCAGAGGGGTAAATCCTCTTCCTGAACAGAGAGCGGATTTGAATCTGCCACTATGTAGTATTTGGGGGCCTGGAGCAGAGAGGGGACCTGGAGATTGTTGAGCTGTCTCAGGTGACATACTCTCATCTACAGACTCCCACAGAACTATGTGAATGCCCTCCGAGTCTCCCCACATCCTCCCTGGAACACAGTGATTCGCGTCCCCAGCTGAATATCGCCTTCACCCGCAGTCACAGCTCCATGTTGCCTCCATCTACACCTCTACATCTAACACACTTTGCATTTGGTACTAAGGATGCGCCAGTGCTCAAGTCTTAGTACTAAGAGCATCTCCTTCCATCCCTGCAGCATCTATTCTCTCCTTCCAGTGGTAGAACTGCGTGTGTGTGTGTGTGTGTGTGTGTGTGTGTGTGTGTGTGTGCGCGCGCGCGCACACACACGCACTCGTGCTCAGGCATGCCTGCTTGGGGTTGAACCCAGGGCCTTGCATGTGTTAGGCAAGCACCAAGTTACCCCTTAGCCCTTAAATCTGTTTGAAGATAAGGTCTTACTTGCCCAAGCCTACCTTGACCTTATTCCAAAACTCAGGCAGACTTTGAACTTGTGATCTCCTGCCTCAGCCATCTGAATAGTTAAGGTAATACTGTACCACCAGTAATCTGTTGTTACTGTTCAGGAGGGACTTGCTACAGTAACACATGTGGAGGTCAGAGAGTAACCTTAGGAAGTCGGTTTTCCCCTCCCACCTTTGCATAGATTCTGGGATTAAAATCAGGTCACTAGGCTCTCATGGCAAGCATCCTCGTTGCTGAGCCATCTTATAGGCCCACAAACTGTTTACTCTTCTCTGGTCCTAGAATATTTTAACCTTCCTGAAAACTAAATGGTCAATGATCTTACTGAAGCCAATCCTAGTCTAGCCTACCTTGGTTGGTTCAAGGACTGGACATGATCCAAACAATATCCCAAATCTTTGTGAATCATAAGCTGTACGTGCCAGATTCCAGCTACAGAGAGCCACGTGATAGAGCTGGAGAAAATGAGAACCTGAGGCTACTGGCTGAGACCAGCCCCTCTCCCTAGTGCTGGCTAGTTAGTCAACTTGACACAGGCTAGAGACATTTGAGGGATGGGAGCCTCAAGTGAGAAAAAGCCTCCAGAAGATAGGGCTGTAGAGCATTCTCCTAATTAATGATTAATATGGGAGGTCCAGCCTATGGGGCTACCCATGGGCTGGTGGTCCTGGGATTCTATAAGAAAGCAGGCTGAGCAAGCTATAGAGAGCAAGCTAGTAAGTAGCACCCTCTATGGTCTCTGCAACAGCTCCTGCCTCCAGATTCCTCCCTGTGTGAGTCCCTGCCCTGACTTCCTTCAGTGATGAACAGTGATGTAGAATCATAATCAAATGAACCCTCTCCTCCCTAACTTGACTTTGGTCATAGCGTTTCATCACAGCAGTAGAGACCCTAAGAAATCCTCTCTGTGACTGGCTTATATGGGGCAATGGAGTACCACCCCCACTTTACCTTTGAATAATTACCAAGATAACCCAGGAAGGTGCTTTGCAATCAGACAGGACAAAAGAGCTGGTGAAGGAACCTACTTCCTTTTCCCCTCAGCCTCACGGAGGACCAACAGGCTCACCTACCTCCTTGACTCAGGGTGATGCACTTAGCCACCTTTCTTGACTTCTAACTTTAGACCAACCTCCATGAGAATTTAGCTCACTTATATCCCAACTCCATTCCTTCTTCGTTTTTTGAGACCGAGTCCCATATAGCCAAGATGGGCCTTGAACTTGAAGTTGAGTTGAATGACTCTGAACTCCAGATCCCCTTGCCTCTACCCACTAGGGTCACAACCACATGCTACTGCACCAGCTCTATCATATTCTTTTTCATCTCCAGGGTTTGAAGTAACCAGGAGTCTATATCTTGCTTTCTTGTTTTCTTCTGTTTTGATTCGCCTTTAGACATGTTTTAAATCTGCCCTGCCCTTTTTAAATAAGAACTATGGACAACCTCCTCCAGTGACTCTGCTTAATCACAGCCCACTCTTGTCACCTGTCACTTTTTACTTGGTCCATGTTATTGTCTCAAAACAAATACAAAATACACACACACACACACAATACAATGGCTGTGCTCTCTTCTCTCTCTCTTTCA